TTACGGTACCAATTTACACAGTGATCAGGAAATTTGCCACCCACCAAGCTGGCCTGTGTTAAGAAATAGGGCTTGAAAGGCTACAATCAATTATCATATGACAGCTAGCATGATGGGTCATTAAGAGGAGCGAGGCTGGTGCTGTGGATGGCAACAGCACCAACTGTTGCCAGGCACCAGCATCGGTGGGGGGGCGGGAGGGATGGAGCTGAATCAGAGTGATGCCTCTCCTGTTCTCCCCAGAGCCAGCATCTATTAGACATTGTCTGCTCCTCTAGACAAGTGAGAGGATGAGAAAGGAGGCTATTCAGATGGGCACATTCCTAAAGCCCTAGTCAGCTCCTCATTATTCAGGGAACTACAGCACCTTCCATTTAAATATCACACTATGGTCACAGAGCCCTTTCTCGCCTATTATTTCATTTAATTCCCAAAATGGCCCCGAGAGACAGACACAGCAAATGGGATCATAGGATGTCAGCACTAGAAAAGACCTCCAGAACAATCTAGTCTAACACCTTTTACTTTCCAAAAGTCTTGGTTCACACAGGCGTTCTATGAGAGAGGGAGGATTGGAATCTCTAAATATAGGGCTCTTTCCACAAGGCCATATTACCCCTATTATCACCTCCATTTTATACATATGGAAACTGAGGGCCAGACAGGAGAGTTGCCTCTTTGGATCAGTGGATTTTAAGGTCAGAAGAGACCTTAGAAGGCCTCCTCCACTTCATCTGATGGCTGAGTGAAGTTACATGCCCAAGATGATCCAGCCTCCTGACCCTGGCTCTTTCCACCATAGCACACTGACTCTGTAGGAACGGCCAATGAAAGCAGAAGAAACCATTTGTCTCCCTTCCTGTATCTCTCAGGATCCCTCCTATGCTCTTAATCCAAGCTAATTTGGTCTAGCCTCCATTAGAGTATCAGTAACTGTCATAAAACTTGTAGAATCCTTGATGCCTTAATGTCTCATGGACTTGACACCCTAATATCTCATGGACAAAAATCTAATGGATTTGCTTTACCACAGAACTCAGCTCTCCCTCAGTCCCAACCATGAGCCTTCCAGTTTAGGATTCCCAGAGTCAGAGACCTATCTATACCCAGCCTCATGGGGCAGTCTGGAGAAGGTTCCCCACCCCTAGGACTCTGGAGTCTTCCAAATCTGAAATTTGAAATTTGAAAATTGTTCCACATCCAGAAGTTAGGAAGGGGAGATGCCTTGGCAACAAGAGCTCTAGCCATCCAATGTAGATAGAAAAGGTAGGTGGCAGCCAGGTGGCGCCATAATAGTGTACAGAGTGTTGGGTCTGGAGTCAGGAAGACCTGAGTTCAAATCCAGCCTCACACACATCCTAGCTGTGTGACCCTGAGCAAGTCATTTCCCTTGGTTTCCTCATCTGCTCAATGGGAGTAATAGTACTTATCTCCCAGGGTTATTGTGAGAAGCAAATAATATAATGTTTGGGGCAGCTAGATGCCCCAAAGACAGCACCAGCCCTGGAGTCAGGAGGACCTGAGTTCAAATCCGGCCTCGGACATATGATACTCACTAGCTGTGTGACCCTGGGCAAGTCACTTAACCCTGATTGCCTCATCAAAAAATAAAAATTAAAAAAAATAATATAATGTTTGTAAAGTAGTTAGTATAGTGGTGGGCACATTAAAAAATGGTAGCTTAAAAAAATATATAAGCCCACTAAAACAAGCTTTTGAGAATCCTGTTATCAAAGTGGAAGCCAGATGCCCCATAGGTATCGTACAAAGTCTCTCTTATACTGAGGAACAAGGTGGACGGTGGTGTTATTAGGGAGACTCAGAATTATAGTTCAGGGTCATAGGATCATAGGTCTAGAGCTGAAAGAGATCTTAGAGGACATCAAGTCTGACCCTCTCATGTTGTAGAAGGGGAAACTGAGGTCCAGAAAGAGGAAGTGCTCACAGCTACATGGTCAGTAAGTATCAGAGTCTGGATTCAAATCTAGGACCTCAGACTCCAGATCCAGCATTCTTCCTACTTTTTAACCTGGGATCTATGACTTTTTTTTAAACAAAACAAAAATAAATATTCTGGCAATGATTTTAATATAATTGGTTTCTTTTGTAATCATGTATTTTATTTGATGTGTTTAAAAACATGATTCTAGGGGCAGCTAGGTGGTGCAGTGGATAGAGGAGGACCTGAGTTCAAATCTGGCCTCAGACACATAACACATAACTCAGGTCCTCCTGACTCCAGGGCTGGTGCTGTCTTTGGGGCATCTAGCTGCCCCAAACATTATATTATTTGCTTCTCACAATAACCCTGGGAGATAAGTACTATTACTCCCATTGAGCAGATGAGGAAACCAAGGGAAATGACTTGCTCAGGGTCACACAGCTAGGATGTGTGTGAGGCTGGATCTGAACTCAGGTCTTCCTGACTCCAGACCCAACATTCTGTACACTATTATGGCGCCACCTGACCCTGGGCAAGTCATTTAACCCCATTGCCTAGCCAAAAAAAAAAAAAAAAAAAAAAAAAAGATGCTGAGGCAGTTAGGTAGCACTGAGGTGGATAGAGCACTGGCCCCAGAGTCAGGAGGACAAGAATTCAAATCCAGCCTCAGACACTTACTAGCTGTGTGACCCTGGGCAAGTCACTTAACCCGAATTGCCTCCAAAAAATAAAAAAATAAAATAAAAACATGATTCTTAGAAAGGGTCCACAGATAGATGGACTGCCCAAGGACCTCAGGAAACAACAAAGGCAAAGAACCTCTGTTTGCAGCCGAGGATGCCTCTCCAGCAGCTATTCTACTGAGAAAAGACCTGCACCTTGGATTTCTAGTGATCACTAAAGAAAAGGACGCTGGCCCAGAAGGTAGGGAGTTCTAGGTGCTCAAAATGCCCACTTTGGTCAGGGTGTCCTACAAGGAATTTCCACGTGGATAGGGGTTGAATTAAAAATGCCCTAGGAGCAGCCTTACAGCAGCCCTGAGATTCAGAGATGGCAAACACAGCACTCCCATTCTTGGGGGCAGTTTAGCTTTCCAATGTACTTGGGCATCAATGAGTTCATTCCATCCTCACATCACCCTGGTAAAGTACACAGGACAGGGATTAGTCTCTCATTTTATAGACTGGGAAAATTAGGTGCTAAGATTCATAGAACTACAGAATACCAGAGCTGGAAGAGACGTCAGACAGTAAAAGATTCTGATTTTAGAAATAAAAGGCACCTTGAAGAGCATCTTCTCCAGTCTCCCCATTTTATGGATAAGGTAACGGAAGCCTGGAAGGGGAAATGACTTGCCCATGGGCATACAATGAGGGAGTGGCAATACTCATTTGGAGGTTCCCTAATTGCTGGGGCCATGCTCCTTTCAGTACACAGTCTGGTCAGCTTGGGGCATGAGGTTTTTCAGACCTTTGGGGACCCTGCCCCGAGGGCCTATGGGAAAGAGAAGAAGGCCAGGCACTGCACAGCTTCTAAGAGTAAGTCCTCCAGGGGGTTTTTCAGACTGTCTGCTTCCCCCTTAGCTTCCCTCCTCCAGAACTGTCTAGAGCTGAGCTACAGAGAAGAATCTGCAATCAAAATGTACAGTCCCTCAGGGAAAGAAGGCCCCACACTCCTCACATTAACAGCAGAAAGACAGGCCCGCAACAACCTTGCTGTGGTGATGACATTTCCAGCAACTGAGGGAATCAAGGAAAGGAAAGGAAAGGAGGGTGAGAGGGGAAGGAGGGGGAAGGAAGAAGAGAAAAGGGGGAGAAGGAGGAGGAGAAATGGGGGAGGAAAGAAGAGAAAAGGTGAGGAGGCAGAAGGAGAAATGGGGGAGGGAGAAAGAGAAATGGGGGGAGGGAGGAGGAAATATAGGGGGAGGAAAGAAGAGAAAATGAGGGGAGGCAGAAGGAGAAATGGAGGGAGAGAGGAGGAGATATGGGGGGAGGGATAAGGAGATATAGAGGAGGGAGGAGGAGAAATGAGGAGAGGAAAGGAGAAAGGAGGGAAGGCAGAAGGAGAAATGGGGAGAAGAAAGAAGAGAAAAGGAGAGGAGGCAGGAGAAATGGGGGAGGGAGAAAGAAATGAGAGGAAAAAGGAGGAGATATAGGGGAGGGAGGAGGAGAAATGGGGGAGGGAGGAGATATGGGGCAAAGGAGGAGGAGATATAGTGGAGAGGGAGGAAAAATGGGGGGAGAAAACAGGGGAAGAATAAGGGAGGGAGAATGGGTAAGGGAGGGAATCAGAGGGAAAGAGGAGGACTAAAAATAGAGAGAGGAAAGAGGAAGAGGAGAAAGGGGGGAAGGTGAAGGAGTAGAGACAGGGAGACAAGCAGGGAGAAGGGCACAAACAAAAGGTAGAAGAAGAAAACTGAGAGGAGAAAGGAGAAGGGAATAACATGAGAAGGAAGCTGGAAGATGTTGGCTGTCACAGCTGGAAGACCTTCTTAGAGTATACATTGTATTATCTGGGCAGAACCTTAGGACATAAACTCATAGCTAGAAAGGCCCTTGGGGATCATCTTGTCTAGCCTCCTTGTTGTAGAGATGAGCTATTTGCTGCCCAGAAAAGGGAAGGGACGGAAGGATCCCAGGTCCAGCTCTGGAAGGGCCCTCAGAAGCCAGCTAGCCCAATTCCCTCACTTTCCAGGAGGAAACTAAAGCCTAGAAAGGCCAAGTAGCCCACCCAAGCTCACAAAGGTAGTGTCAGTGACAGACATCAGAACTCAGGTCCTCTGTCTGCTGCTCAAGGTCAAACACGCCAAGGTTCACAGTGGGAGAAGGAAAAGGACAAGAGAGAGACAGAGACAGAGATGAAATAAAAAAGCAAGCGGAGGAGGCTGAAGGCAAAGAGGGAGAGAAATTAAGGGAAGGGTTCAAAAGAAGGGAAATTGGGGAAAAAATGCAAAGAGTGGACTAGGGATGGGGGGAATAGAGGAAGAGAGACTATCAGAAGGGGAGGGACAGGTAGAGGAGTCAGGCTAGGCTGGTAAGGGGGTTAAGTAGTCACTCACCCTCACAAAGCTGGCAGGAAACCATCCTTCCTCATCATCGATCTGGCCCCACCACCAGTCCTTGTTGGAAGCATCCAGGACCTTGATGACGTCGCCTGCCTTAAACGCCAACTCCCGGTTGGCCATGGTGACATGATCCCATACTGCCTCAGCACTTACGATGGAACCTCCGCTGATCAGCTGAAGAGAGAATAGAAGAGGCTCAGTCCCAATTGATCAGTAGCTCCCAACCCCATTGTCCAGCCCCCTGGCCTACTTTGAATTCATAAGGGGAAAGGAAATCAATGAACTGGACTGCCCCCTCTAACAACACAGTCAACTCTCTATCATCCAGAGGGTATGATCACGGGTTCCTATGGGAACATAAGATTTAGGAGCTAGGAAGGTCCTCAGACACCAGCTAGTTCAAGCTTCTCATTTGATAAAGAAGAAAAGTGAGGCCTGGAGAGGGAGACGGATGCCTTGGCCAATTATGAGCCAGTATAGGCCTTATCCAGGTCCCTGGTTCCCCTGCTCATCCTTCTACTCCTGCTGCTAGTAAGTGCACTAGAAGAAGAGAAATTTCCCATTCATCTACCTTCCTACAGAGAAAGATTGGAGGGGGTGAGTTGGTAACAGTTAAGTTTGGATTAACTATGATTTCAAATATTCATGCTACCCACATCTTCTCTGATGGTGGATAATAGAGAGTTGACCACATCTTTCTGGGATCCCCACCCCCTGTATGACATACTCCCACATTCTTCAAACATATAAGAAGCCAGTCCTGGAGGTCTTTGGCTGCCCTGGAGGCCAATCTAGCATTTAGCGAGGTCAATAATGGGAAAGGGAATTTCTCTTCTTCCCAAAGAGCCCCATGTGCTCAACAGGTATTCTGTCAATGATCCCAGAGACTGCCTGGTGAAACTGAGGCCACGGATTAGTCCCTATGAGTTTCCAGATGGGGAAACAGAAGCCTAGAGAAAAGGGATGAATAACTCATCTAAGCTCACACAGAAAGTCAGAGGCTGCCCTGGGCATGAGGAAATATGGCCACCAGGACTAGATTACATGGGTCACAAAGAGACATCTCCCACTCATACTCCCTTCTCACCACCACACATACACACACATACAGCCTCTGCCAAAGACACCCTGGTGAGATCAAGGCTGTACGTATGAAACACACAGCCTAGACTAGTAAAGGGCCCAGGTCTAAGACTACAGTCTCCCAGACAGGCTCAGGCCTGGCCAGGCAAATCACGAGCGTGCCAAGCATATGGCATCTTGGCCAACGGGACAGGAGTTCAGGCCTGCCAGAATCTTGGAGTAGCAAGAACGCTCAGAGGTCACTTTTGCCCTCCTTTGCTTTTAGGAATGACAGTGATCTCAGGCAGAAGGATCACAGAATCTGAGTTGGAGGAAACTGACCCCTGGAGCAGTAATCTGCTCTCCAACATGCTCCAAGCAGGGCTCTGCAAGCTGCCTCAAAGCTGCCGGAGACCAGGAACTCACTATTGCCCAAGGCAAGCCCATTTGACTTTTGAACAGCTCTGCTTGTTAAGAAATTAATGCTTCCTTAGATGGTATAACATGCTTCTGTGTAACATCAGAGAGGCCTACATGGAAGGCTAGAAAGGACCTCAGAGGCCAGGTTAGTCCAACTCCATCCTTTTACAGAGGAGGAAACTGAGGCATAGGGAAGGAAAGGGCCTTGCCCAAGGTTAAAGAAGCAGTAAATTTCAGAGTTGGGATTTGAACACAGGTCCTCTGACTTCAAATATACTGTCCTTTGAGTTCACCAAACTACTTGCTACTTCTATTCAATGCTCCTAATTCTGACATCTGAGGTCAAGCAGATTCCTTGTAACCCAACTTCTACACAGTGGGGAGGGGGGGGGCAGGTAGGAGTAGGGGTATCAACAATAACTGTCCTCAAATATCTCAAGAGCTGCTTTCTCTTCTCCAAGCTAGCACCCACATTTCTTTCAACAGATTCTCTTATGGCATAGCTTCAAGATCTGTCAATACCCTGGCTCTCCCTCTCTGAACATTCTCCAGATTATCAATACCCCTCCTAAAAGAACACAGCCCTTCAGATGTGACCTGACCAGAGCAGAGGACCATGGGACACAGTTGCCTCCTTCTGGATATTACGCCTCTACCAGGGATGGGGAACCTGGGGCCTCGACGCCACATGTGGCCCGTTAGGTCCTCACGTGCTGCCCTTTGACTGAATCCAAACTTCATAGAACAAATCTCCTTAATAAAAGGATTTATTCTGTAAAACTTAGACTCAGTCAAAAGGCAGACCTAGAAGGCCACATGTGCCCTCAAGGTCGAAGGTTCCCCACCCCTGCGACCAATGAAGTCTTAGCTTGAGGTTTTTCTTTCTTTCTTTTTTGGGGGGTGGGGGTGGGGTGGGGTGAGATAGCCATGTCACTGTTGATTCTTACCTTATTTAAATTCACAAAACTTCCCAGATCTTTTCCTTCTGAAATGTCTAACTACATCTCTCCCTGCCCACCCACTGGTGTCATTGACTTTTTAAAAACTCAAGCAGAGAACTTTATATTGGGAGTCTAATTTTTTTTTCTGACTCCCACAATCACCTGATTCACCAATTTATATATTGTTCTAGATAGAACATAACTTAGAGATAATCTATTTGAACACTTTCTTTTTAAAGGAGGGAGAAATTGAGGTCAGAGGGGGAAAAAAATGACTCGTCCAAGGGCATATAGAAAAATTAGTGGAAGATTAGCCAAGATGACAAAAAAGGAAAATGACAAATGTTGGATGGAGGAGGATGTGGGAAAACAGAGACACTAATGCACCCTTTGGTGGAGTTGTGAACTGATCCAACAATTCTGGAGAGCAATTTGTAACTCTAACAAAAGGGCTATGAAAGTACATACTCTTTGACCCAGCAACACTACTCCTACCCCAAAGAGATCAAAGTAAAGGGAAGGGGACCTATATGTACAAAAATATTTATAGCAGCTCTTTTTGTGGTAACAAAGAATTAGAAAATGAGGGGATGCCCATCAATGCCCAATGAGAAATGGCTGAACAAGTTGTGGTATATGAATATGATGGAATACTATTTTGCTATAAGAAATGATGAAGGGGATGGTTTCTGAGAAACCTGGGAAGACTTATATGAGCTGATGCAGAGTGAAGTGAGCAGAACCAGGAGAAGAATACAGTAACACAGTAACAGCCATATTGTGAGGATGATCAGCTGTGAAAGACATAGCAACTCTGATCAATATGATCGACAGTGATCCACCACAATTCCAAAGGACTAATAATGAAACATGTTATCCACATCCAGAGAGAGAACTGATAGACTCAAGAGTACAGAATGAAGTATGTTTTTTTCTCTTCATCTTTCTTGTCTTTTTTTTTTTAATATGGCTAATATGGGGGGAAAAAGGGGGAAAAGAAAATAAGTTTTAGAGTCAGAACTTGAACTCAGGCCTCCTGACTCTAGTCGGTGCTCTTTGTATACTGAAGGCAAGTGTGGTACAGTGGAAAGGTCAATGGATTTGGAGCCAGGAGGACGTGAGTTTAAATCCAGTCTCAGACACGTGACACTTACTAGCTGTGTGACCCTGGGCAAGTCACTTAACTCCAACTGCCTCATCCAAAACAAAAACAAAAACAAAACCAAAACCATAAAATGAAGGACTACATGATCTTGAAGGTTCCTTCCAGTCTTAGATCTAGGAACCTATGAGCCTATGAATCTTATCTCTTTAGCATATGCAGACTTGCTCTGGAATGGAGAAGAATAAGGCTTTAGCCCAACGAAGATGCCTCCTAAGTAAGCCAAGTGGCACCCAATAGCTCCAAAAGTCTCAAGTGGTAGTCCTGGGAGAGGTGCCAGGCAACAAACCATTTGATAGGTAAATGAGTGAGAGCTGACTCAATTAGCCCACTCCACCCAAGCAGCTCTAGACTATCAGGCCAGAACATACTTCCCATCCCAGCCAGCTGTCCACTCTGGCCATCTCAACATCCATATATTACCTCCCCATTTCTGCCTCTTAACTCTGGGGTCAGTAATCAAATTGACATTGCCATAATGCTATTGTTCCTGGACAGGGTGTGTCAATTGACCATTCTAATTATGGATCAACTCAGCTTCCCAGCATCTTCTCCCCCCCACCCCAACATTTCCTTCCCTGGTCACCACTCCCCAACATATACTGTCTTATCCTATTAGTTAATTAATGAAGCTCTTTGCACATGAGGACTGTCTCACTTTTATATTTATTTGTATCTGCAAGGCTTAGCACATAGCAAATATTTAGTAAGTTCTTTTTCATTATTACATTCAATCTCTGCCCTTGCCATTCATAGGCTTAAATCAGACACGAATTTTAGAAAACCAATGGTAAGAGTTCCAAGGGATCTCTGAATAAAAATAATTCCCATTATTATATACTGTTTGGTTTATAAAGTGCTTTCCTCACAATAACCCTGTGAGGTTAGTAGTATTATTATCCCCATTATTATCCCCATTATTATCCCCATTATTATCCCCATTTTACAGCTGAGGAAACTGAAGATCAGGGAAGAGGAGTAACTTGCCTAGGGGCTCATCACTACTAAGCATCAGAGCCAGGATTTGAATTCAGGTTTTCCTAACTCCAAATATGGTATTCATTCTACAGGGCTGGAAGAAATTTTTGAGATCCTCTACCCTAGTTACATAAGAGGAAACTGAGGCCCAGAGATGCAAAGGGATTTAGCCCAGATCACAAAGCTTCTATGGATCAGAGCATGCTAAAACTAGAGGCCAAGTAAGGATTGAACGCTGGCCAGATGCAAGGCACTAAAAGATCTGTCCTGGTCTGTCCTGCAGATGTGTGCAGGAGAAATTGGCAGCGACCTTGGATAGGCTGGCAGCAGTAGGGAGTTGTCCCTTCTCAAGCCCCAGAGCTTTGTTTCAGGACCACACACAAAAAAAGTGGGCCCTTAATCAAACCCTAGAACTTCTAGAGAAGAAAATTGATTTTGAATTCAATTTTATTAAGTGCCTACTGTGTGTGCTGGGCATTGGAGCTATATTTAATTGTGTTCTATTCTTTTTCCTTATATATGTGCATAGCTCCTCTGGTCCAGTCTTTCTCTCCACAATGATACCCACAACAGTCAGCAATCTGCATCATTTGTGAAACAGCAACCAACCA